CTCAACAATTCTTCATCTCCTTGCACTTTCCACTCATTCAGCTGATTGAAGTATTCACGATTCCCACCTCCTTTGGAAAGAGGGGAATTCTCATGCAGACAGAGAGGAACTGATGTCCTGAAAATCCTTCCACATGTTAAAGGTATAAGCAAAATTTGAGATACGTGATAGAAATTTCAGGATGGTGCCAGCTTTTAAACAAACAAGAAAATTAGTAAATAATGGGTTGTATCCATTGCAGCCTATCTAAATTTCCTTCAGCAGCTCCCGGGTGGGCTGTGAAGAGGCTGGAAAGTGGCTGATTGCAAAATGGAATATCTGGGGAGATCAGATGGAAACGTGTGGGGAGCTCACAAAGGATCAGGGGAACAGAGAATGCAAAAGGCAGAAAAGGAAGATGAGAGAGATAGGACTGAGAGGCAAAACAGCCAGGAGGCAGATCTGTGGGAAGATCCTGGAAGGGATCAGTCAGGTAGGAACCAGACAGAGGGAAAGATGAAGTGTTGGTCTGGAATGTGCAGAAAAGCAAAAAATACCGAGCACTTAGGATAATTAGCTTTACTCTAAGTCTCTATAACTTTATCTGCCATTCCTGTTTTCCTGAAGTTCTGTCCAAGTGGGAGAGCTGAGGAGTTTGTTTGCTGGAGATTTTATTCCCCTCTTTAAGGGGGGGTTGATGTTTCTGGTACATCTGCAGCTATAAAATGTTCATGGGTGATTTGGCCAAAAAGAGCTGTGCCTAAATCCCCTGTGAAGTTGTCCTGCCCTGACCCTGCTGCCAGCGTGGGATAACTCCCCGTTGGTGTCTGCAGTCCTGTCTTGCCCAATCTTGTTTTTAATGTCTCGGGAAATTGGGCTTTTATCACTTCCCTAGGCAAATTCCTTCACTGGATAACAAAGCTCACTTGGGGAAGGATTTCTGCTCAGATGCAGCGAGAGGCATGCAAGTGGAAAAACTTTTTCTTATGTTAAACATGAATTCTGAATAGTTTATCTTGTTGTTCAGACTTCTAACTCCTTCTCCAAACACCTCCTTCTTCTTTTTGCCGTTTTGGGTATCTTGCAGTGAGATCTGAATTGCAATCACATTAATTTCTCTATCAGAAAAAAGAAATTACTCCTGATTAAAGAAATAATTGTATCAATTTGGTGTAGCATCAGGTTAGAGAATACAAAGGATGTCCATGAAGAAGACACTTTGGATGTCTTGTTTGCATGTTTTAACAGGACTTATTTTGCACCTTAAAAAGGGTGGGATTTCCATCTCTGCCCCAAAAGAAGGTCCATCCAGGCCATGCTTCCACTGGATGTGTCCATTTCTCCTCTTAGCTTCCACCCATTCCTGGTGCTCTGGAGTCTGGCAAGCAGGATCTCCTCATTTCTAGACTTACTTTGCTCTCTCCTTTTTTCTGTACAACAGATTTATTCCCCATTCAAATTTTCAATTATTTCTGGGCTTGATGTCATCTCAGCTATCTTCTTTCTTTGACTTACAGTCTCCAGTTCATCTTACAAATGCAGGTACAGCCTTACTGAAGTTTATTTAATCACAAAGGCTTTACAAGGCCTGACGTGTGAAATTCACTCCACACTTGTGCAATACAGTGATAAAATCAGATCTTGGCCAATTTCTCTGTGGGAAGTGTGTTTGAATACACTTTACTTGGCTTTTCACAGCCTGTTGTGACTTCTCATTAACTTAAACCCAATGTTTCTTCATAGGTTGGAACAGATAATTATCTTGCCAGTGTTAAGAAGAGTCATCATTCATCTGGAATTATTCCACGGATAAATAAAACCTTAACAGGATAATGGCTCTGTCTGCTGTTCACATTTCTCAGGCTGACTTCTTCCAAACAAATCTAATTGTTCAAGGTGAAGCTGGGCATTAGGGAAGTTTTAAGAAGTAAGAATTAGTTTTTAAACTCCACATTCAAAATTCAGTTGCAATATTGAAGGGACAAGAAGGAACGGCCTCAAGCTGTGCCAGGGAAGGGTCAGGTTGGACACCAGGAGGAATTTCCTCATGGAAGGGGTGGTCAGGCCTTGGAAGGGGCTGGAGTTCCCATCCCTGGAGGTGTCCAAGGAACGAGGATGTCAGGGCTGGTGACAAGGTGACTTGGAACTGATGACCTTGGAGGGCTTTTCCAACCTCGGTAATCCTGTGATTTTGTGATCTAATGTTAGGCAGAATTTTTCCCCCTGTTTTGAGGAGGTGACAACCAGTGGGCAAGTCTGTGCCAGTGCCCCAACTGCTGTGAGCAAATCCCTGACTCATCCCTTCCCAGGGCTGGCTGGGAACTCACCTGGAATTATCCCAGAGCTTTTCCAAGGGGAGGTGGCACCACTCTCACTTTCCTGCCCAGCAATCCTGAGTCATCACAGGTAGAAATGGAATTCAGGGATGTCTCCTGGACCTTTTTTTCTGGGATGTTTTCTTCTCCTGCTTTGGGGTGGTTTGTTCCTACACCGTGTAGCTGTTCTGTGAGTTCCCTTCAATCAAATAAAGTGGTTGTCATGGGCACAGTGATGCTTTGCTCTTTTTTGGAACTTTAATTGAGGAATATCAGAAAATCACCAGTCACCAGCCTGCAGAACTCCCAGAAATAGGAAACTTTGGTCATCTAATGTGGTTTCTCCTGTAGCTGAGCTGAGGGGTCTCTACTCTGTGAGATTCACAGTCATGTTTTCAAAGCCTGGTTAAGAAAACATCAATATGAACACTCTGGAGTTTTAAAAACCAAAATACTGCGTGTGGTCATTGTGTTGTCAGTTCTGGAGACTCAAATAACAAATGCTGCATGTGGTCACAGTGTTGTTAGTACTTTCTGTTTAATTTTGGTTAGTGTGTGTTACCTGTTGGCAGAATTCAGTTGTTTTGTGGGTTCTTCACACTAAAATAATTCCAGGTGAGCCAAAGCAGCTACAGAAAATCCACTGTGGAGTGCCAAACGTGGGTGTGTGACTGAGGAAAGCATTGTCCGTGGGTTTCAGCTGTGCCTGTGCTCACAGGGATGAACCACTTTGGTCCCAGTGATGCCACCTCAGATCCCACTCTTGGAGGGGTTTTCCTACAGGACTTGTCCCATTTCTTGGCCAGGAGAGCTGGAAGGGTGAGGAGAGACAGGGAACCAAGCATTCCAACCTCTGGCACAGCCTGACACCCACCAGCTCCTGGCCACTGGTTATTTGTCACCTACCCCCCCATGACAGCCACTGGATCTGCTTGTTTCTCCTTAAACCCTACAAATTTAAGCCACGTGGTCCCAAAACTACAGGTTAGAGAAGGTTTATGTGGGTTAGACAAGCTCAGCTGTTAATTAAAAGCAGAGAATGAGAAGGGATGGGCCCAGCGGGCCAAAATCTCAGCTGGTGCCATCGGGTGCCACCTCTGGCTGTGCCACTTCCCTGTGCCCAGGGCTGTCCCCAGCAGTGGGCTCTGCCCTGGGGAGCTGCACAGGCCAGGCTGTGCTCCTGGGGGAGTTCTAATGCCTTCCAATGCCGTGTTTACACTGGGAATACTTGGCAGAGCAGTGGATGAGCAGTGCTGCCAGGGGGGCTTTTAAGCCAGGCTTTATTTATAAAGAGGGCACGGGCTGTGTCTGAACCAAACGGCTTCGTGGGTTTGTACGACCTGGTGTTTACAATTCCTCGTGATTTTTAAATGAAATAGAAGAGTTGCCAACACATCAAATAAAGGCAGAACATCCTTGCATATCCTTGCATGCCATGTTTTACAAGTGAAATCTGGGAATAAGCTAAAGGAGTCAAAGCAAAATGAATGCACTTCAGAGCATTCCTGTTCTCTAACTCACAGATCCCAACTCTGCCTTCCCTGTGCACCTCTGAGATCACCCAGCACTGGGGGTCCCTCCAGGGTGCAGGATTGGGCTGTGGGATGCCCATTTTCAGTGAATTTTCCATGACTGGCACCCTGAGCACTGCTTGGTTTGATTTCACCTTTCCCCTCCAACACTCAGTGCTGTCCAACGTCGCTCTCCTCCTTCTCCAGCTCAGGTTTCTCAGGGCTGGCTGGACACAGGGAATTAGGAGGTGCTCTGCTTTCCCATGCCATGGAATGTGTGTGCACACCCCTTCTTCCCGCCCTCCCACCATCACTCACTAAAGCTCATATCAAATCTATTTCTCCCTGGGGGATGACTCCAGGAGCCTTCCCTGATGCCTGAGCAGCCTCACAGGCTGCAGGTGGATCTGCTGTTAGAGGGAGACAGTAAATCCTGGATGAAGTTTGGATAGAGGGAATGTTCTACTATGACCTAGAACGGAGACAGGACATGCTGGCTTAACACCACCGTCCCTGTGATTTGCTGTTTAAAAGTACAGACTTAAATCTCCATTCAGCTTTTTCCTGAGGAGTAAGGAATTCTTCCAGCAATGAGCAGGTGCTGCTGGGATTCAGATCAGTCCTTCCAGCCCTGTTTCCAGGAGTTTTCATACAAGAAGCCCTGTTAACTTCAATGTATAAGCCACATTCCTTCTCATGCACATGGGTTTGCAGGATTCTGATAATTGTAAATATTAACAGGTAACACCTTCAGCAGCCTCTCAGCACTGTGGTTCCCTCAGGTCTACCACTGCAGAGTCATTCTACCTCTCTAAAACCCCTGGGGAGATTTTAGGGTGGGTCAAGACCATCCCAAAGATTGTCTCAAGGTGGATCCATGGAGGAGATCCTTTGAATCAATCCCTGCTTTATTCTGGAACTCTGTCCAGCCTCTGCTCCAGGGCAGCCTGCACAAAGCATCAGCTGTTTAATTAGCACGAGGCCTCTCAGTGAACAGCATTGCCAAACAAACTCCATGTGCCAAACAAACTGGCCCGCTGCCTTTTCCCCCTTGGCTGCTTCTGCTGCCCAGATGGCTCAGCCTGCCAGCACAAAGCATCAAATCATTTTATTCCTATGACGGCAACTTGATTCCTGATGATATAGAATCCATATATTAACAGCATCTCATGGTTTTTCTCTTTTCCCCTTCCAGGAGTGAATTCCTCGGTTGTTGCTGATTTCATGCCCACGTCGTCATGGAACATCTCAAGTGAATTAGATAAAGGTAAGCAGACTGAAAAACACCCCAAACCCACCTGAAATCAGATTTAAAAATCTCCATTTGTCTTGACTTGACCAAATCCGCATGTAAAGGGGGTCGGGAGTTATTCAAGATAAACCTCATTTGCCTTGGGTTCCTTTGACATTTAATTCCATGTGGTTCTGTGATTTCTGGAGATGGCTGTGTTTGTTTCTTGTACCAGGAAAATGTTCCACAGGGCAAAAATATTTCAAGATGTTCTGTCACATTTTTTTTTTCTGGTGGATCGTGGGATTTGAACTCAAAATCCACAAGCATCAGGCACTGAGTTTCCTCTGATGTGTTTTATTACGAAATTTTGAGGCTTTAATAATACAAAATACATTTGCAGGTGGTAATTAGGTATAATTTGGAGCTCTCCAACGGGTATATATTTTTTAAAAAATGAGAGATTTATCATTCTCCTTCATTTTGTAAATTAAGCACTGCTAATTTAAGGCAAATTGCTGAGATTCCCTCATTGCAAGGCAGTGGCTGCAGCTCCTGAGTCAAACCTGTGCATCTTTGAGGATGCTTTTAGCCACCCTCACTGTGCAATTTGTCAACCACTTTTCATTTGCCAACCATTTACTGCTGAGATGGAAATTTCCCACAGTGGAATTCTACCCCAGATGGTTTTCCCAACTGTTTTTGTCTGTTTTGTTACTGGTTTTTTGAACATGTGCTCATAATGTTTGATGTTTATGCATAAATATGTTTTCTGTGCTTAAGGATGAGGAGAATATGTAATTCTGGGTACTTTGGGTTGATGCTTTCACATCTGCCTTCCCAGCAGGGAAGGAGCAGGACTTTGTGGGGAAGATGAAAGTCAAAGGGCTGGTGCTTGCTGGTGGGAAAGGGAGAAAACCTTGTGGTCATTCAGCAGAGAATTCCCAAATCCCAGCAAATGGCTGAGGGAAGGTGTTGACAGAATGGAGTTCTTATCCCACTGCAGGGATTCACCCACGGGCTGTGCTCAGGGAGCATCCCAAAGCTGAGAAGTGAAGGTGGAGAGAAGGTGGGAGAAGTGAAGCTGGTGCTTCCCCCAGGCAGGAGCATGGAATCACAGAGTGCTTTGGGTTGGGAGGGACCTTAAAGCCCATCCAGTCCCACCCCAGGGACACCTCCCACTGTCCCAGGCTGTTCCAAGTTCCATCCAGCCTGGCCTTGGGCACTTCCAGGGATCCAGGGGCAGCCACAGCTGCTCTGGGCACCTCCCAGAGAAGGATTTTCCTGCCTCCCACCCTCCCAGGGAAGGATTTCTTCCTGATATCCCACCTAAACCTCCCCTCTTTCCATGTTTCTTCCCTGTTTGGCAGCTTTCTTTGGTTTTTCAGAAAGCATCCTCTGGGAATGCAGGGCAGGAGAAAGCTGCTCCTCTGGGAATGCAGGGCAGGAGAAAGCTGCTCCTCTGGGAATGCAGTGGGCAAAGGCTGCTGTGGTGTTCCAGGCTCAGATTGTATCCAGGTAGGAATGCTTGGCTCCTCCCCTGGGCAGAGCATCTCCCAGTGGGATGATGGAATTTGATCAGCCATGCAGGGACACTCACTGGCCATGGACAGCAGATAATTAATAATTAATGGCCCATTAACAGCAGAGATCTCCTGGAGGGAGGATTGGCTGTGGGAGAGATAAGAAAACTGCCCCATGAACAGAGGATAAGTGCCCCAGCTCTGACAGATGGCAATAGAATCCACACCCCAGCCACATCTTGCATTTCCAACTGAGACAAGGAGTCAAAATCCACTTGTCTTCCAGGAGGTCACGCCGGCGTTGCAGTAAAACTCATTTTAAAGCCTGTTAAGTTCACCACATGAAAGTGTTTCCAAGCAGATTTCCCAGTTAAATCCCTGCCTACTCTTAAGTGTCTCCAACTCTACCTGCTGCCTTTTGGAAAGGAGCATCTCCTCCTCCAGCGTGTGCCCTGTGTTGGGGAAGGAGGAACAGCTTGATAAAAATATTCTGCATTTTGAAATAATGACTTAATTTGGTGCTTTCCCTCGCTGGGTGAGTTCTGCAGTTATTATCTTACAACTGAGCCCTATTCAGGTTTCAATTTCTATTAAATAAGCTAAATCGACAGCATTAAACAGTTGCCTGTTTATTCTTTTTAGCAGGAAATGAATTTAAAAGAGGCGCAGCCACCCGTGAAGAGCTGTTGAAAGCAACGATTGATGGGAGGGAGGAGGTGGTTTCTCACCAAAACCTTAAAAAAACAAACAAACTGGGCATAAAAAATAAAAAATAATCACTTTTAAAACGGGGGAGATTTAGCTATGAGCATTTATCTCTCTTTTCCCTATACTGGTAAACCATGGTGTGCAGAGGGAATGCCACAAGGGAGAAAGAGAAATGAAAATATGAGCCTATAAATATTTAATTCTATAAGGAGAAATAAGTGAAGTTGGGGGAAAAAAGGGGGCTGTGGTGGTAGGAAAAGCCCCATTCCAGGGCGATGGTGGCAGCATGTGGAGCTTTTCACTCCCAAGTTTTCTGAGATTCCATTTGGTGGAGGGAGCCTGGAGCAGCCCCAGGTGGGAGATCTCCCATGGGATCATGGCTCATTGCTCCAAGAGGCTGGAAAAGTCTCATCCATGTGTGCTCCTGCACAGGGATTTCTCCTTGAATTTCTCCTTCCCTGCATGTTGCCTCCCCTTCTGTTCCCCCTCACCACCAGCCCAGCTCCAGCTCTTTGTCTGGGAAAGCTCCCAGTTTCCCATCTTCTTTTCCTTCTTTAGAAAGGTGAAGAGCCCTCCATTCAGCTGCTCCTACCCCACAAAACAGATCATGGAAGGAGAGGCTTTTCCTTCTTCCTTCCATCCCATGTCAGTTTATTTACAAAGAAATAAGGCTGAATTGGAATGGGAGCCTATTTACATCTGCTCCACTGGAGGAATTGTTTGGGATCTCTTCATCCTTAGGCAAAGATAATACTGGAGTCCTTGCCAGGAAAGAGTCAGCTTTGGAATATTATTTTAACTGTAGTAGGATTCAGCTTCAGTGGCTGTTTGTTCTGCAGGGCTGATCAGAGAATGATGCAGCTCCCTGGGATGGGTCCTCCCAGTGCCCCATTCCCACCTGCAGCCTCCTCCAGAGGCACAGGGATGTGTCCTGGCTGTGCCTGAGCTGGGGCTCATTTCTTTTGTTGGTTCCTCCTTCTCCTCCCAGGATCTCTTCCTTGGTCCTTCAGCTTCCAAAAAAAACCATTGCTGTGAGTTTTTGCCTGTTTTCCTTTTCCTTTCATGGCACCATCCCAAGCCCAGGTTTTGAGCTCCCCACAGCCTCTGTGGGGCACAGCACTTCCCAGTGCCTGGAACAAACATTCCCTGGAGAACTTGGCAGAAGATTCAGCTGGGATTTATCCTTAACATTCAAAGGCATATATCAAGGATCACTTGATATCAGTGATCTGGGGATGCACAGCCCAAAATGAGTGTGGAGGGTCCAAACAAGGGGTGGGAGAGGTGCAGCGTTTGGGACTGCATGTCCTGAACTTCCTGGAGATCCTGGTGTGGGCAGAATTTTCCCTGGAAGGACTGGACACCAGCTCCAGCACAGCAGGAGGAAAATGCAGGCAGTGGAAGTTCTGCAGGACATCAGGGGTGCAGCCAGGCTGCCCATGCAGCCTTTGGCTCACCCTCACTGACAGATCCAGGCTGAAGCTGCCCCCTTGGCACATCCTCCCAGGCAGGGAAAGGACCTGGCTGGGAGTTCTTTGAGGGAAAATCTCAGTGATCTCCCAGGGAGGATTTGACTCTTAGGCAAACTACATCCCAAACAAGATAAACACAACCAAACGTGGGGAAAACCAGGTGGGTCGAGGCCTCCTGCCTTTGGCCCCAGCCCTTCAGAGATTCCAGATTCTCCTTTGAAATCACTGGATGTGAATTTGATCCGTGTGCTGAAAGGGGAAGAATTACAGCTTTCACATTCATGCACAATTTACCTTTCTATTTTCCTTTATTATCTGGGGGATATGGGGTAAATCAAGCTCCCCTGTTGGGGCTCAGGGTTCTGATTCGATTTGTGGGGTCCTGTTAGTAGCAGGGCAGTAAATTACTGCTACTTTGTTTGAAAATTTTTTTAGCCACAGTACATTAGCTCCTTTTGTTTGCTTTTCCACTGACGGAGTGCACGTTTTTATTTGAGAATTTGTGTTTCTTGAATGTCTCATTTATAAATAATACAGGGTGTGAAATTTGAAGGTCACAGAACACAGCCTGAAAATGAAACCACCCTGAGCAACTTTGGGCTTTCAAGGCAAAAATCTTCCACCAAAAGCTGCACTTACATCAGACTTTTTATATAAACTGAGTGTGTGCAGTGAATATTGACCATTATACATAAGGTAACTATATATAATAACCTTTTCCTGGCTCATCCAGCTATCTTTGTTTATTTGAAAGATTGATAGAACAGAGGGTCAAGGGACGTGTTTTATTGTACGTTTCTGTTCCAAATTTCCTGACATTTTTGGTCGAAAAAAAAAATAGACCTTTAAAAGGCACAGAAAGAGCTAATAAGAACCAGATCCTAAAGTGATGCTATGTCAAAATGTCAGAAATAACAGCTTTTCTTTGACTCCACAGCATTAATCTTGAGGCACATACCTTTCCATACACCCTCCCTTTAATGCTTGAGTTTTTCTTTGTGGCTCTTTACTGCAGAGCAGCTTCTAAAGTGACAGCAAAATCCCTTGATGGTTTTCAGTAGTTGGCTTTATAGCTGGATGTGGACATTTGTTTACCTATTCCAAATCACTTTTTTTTTGGTGATAAAGTTTAGAGGTTTCCTACTTGGGCTATAAAACTGGTTCCTGAGTAAAGAAAAGCTTCATTTCCCCTCAAAGTGACCTCTGAGACATCTGTCCTTAAAGCTCAGAGTTGTCTGATGAAAGGAGGGGCAGAAGCAACACTCAAATGCATCCAAGAGTTCATGGAGGGCAGGGAGTTGCCCAGTTCCCACCCAAAAGCTGTGGGATTCAA